ATTTTCGCCTTATTTTATTAGTTTCTTTGGCTCTATTGATAATTTCAGTACTATGCGAAGCGCTGCTCCAAGCACTGTGCCTAGCGTTGCTTCGAGCTCTGTGCCAAGTGCTGCTTCAAGCACTGTGCCAGCGCTGCTTCAAGCACTGTGCCAAAAGCTGCGCCAAGCACTGTGCCAAAAGCTGCGCCAAGCACTGTGCCAAAAGCTGCGCCAAGCACTGTGCCAAGCGCTGCTCCAAGCACTGTGACGAGCGCCGCGTCAAGCACTGCGCCACGAGCGAATGTATCAAAGATGGCTCGTTCCTTCTTCGATTCTGAAAGCGATGACGATATCGGTATGGTGGCTTACTGGTTTACTATGAAAATGTCTTTTGTTGATTTTTCCCTTGTTTCAGGAGCAGGCGACAACAATAAAAGTGGCGGAAATGATAGTTCAATCTCGAAAGCTACTCCAAAAAGTGGTGCAGCCGTTCGTGAAGAACCTGCTCGCGAAAATCCTACCAAATCTTCCGCGAGTAGTCAAGGAGCTCTCGCTCAGACGACCACGAAGCCACAATTCGCAAAAGGACTGTTTGACGATGATGAAGAAGACGATGATTTGTCAATGTTTAGAAGCAGCAAGCCTAAGAAAAGCTGACTTGTAAATACACCGTAGTACGCCTGCCATTATTACGATTTTGTATATGTTCTACTAAGAGTTTATATAAAGTTTTGAAATGTATTATTCATAAAGTACATATCGTATCGATGGGATACGGCGTTTCGGGATTTGAGTTGAAAGTGGCTCGTTCACTATGGTCCAGGTCGGTGCAATACAGGTTAACTAACGACAAATTACAAATAAAAATTGTGTCAGAATGAGTGGACCTTGCATGGCAGTATGAAATCGGCTTTACAATCGAATTAACTGAGCTGTGAGTCAGAGGCTGGATAAACTGTTGGTAAGTTATTAACAGAGGCGGGAGCAGGAACTGTGTCTTCATGATTTCTAGGAGGGGCTTATATTGGAAAGGAGGCAGTCACTTCTGGGACAGGGGCGGAATTTCCCTAATCATAACAAAAGAGTAGTAATATAGGCAAATTATGTCGAATATACATTTTCAAGAGGTGTATATTTCTCCCGGCGCTACGTGCCACTTTTAGTGGAGATTGTGGGGCGGAGTTGGCGCGTGTCAAGTGGTAGCAGCTTAGGAGCACTATCGACATCATCAGTCATAATCCGGTGGGTGGGAATGAGATGGGGGGAGGGAAGGGACCAGGGCGAAATTCCACCCAGATTTCCCTGTCCCCGTTTCGAGATTTATTCCAATTACACTTGATCGCCTGTCAGCGGCGAGTATTAACCGGTGTTTACACGCGGAGGGACGTGAGTCCGTCGCGATCCACGCATGCGAGAGCTACCCTCGCCTCATTAGCCAGAAAGCTCTTTGTCAATCGCAGCAAAACTGCGTAGCATACCCCGTGGCCTCGACGCATTCATCGAGAATTTAGCCACTTGTGCCACGTGGCTAAATTCTCGATGAAAAGGTGACATCATGTGCGCTCAAAGATGTTCTTGCATCGATGCCACGTTAATGCCACAACAATTTCTGCAATGGCACAATTCGTTTCTGAAGGCGAGGGTACACAGTTCGCGGCACCACCGTAAATCGCGATCTTTGTCATATACGATCATTAATGTTGTTGGTACTAAAACCTGGTGGCTGCCATTTGCATATAACGATCCAAAAGAATTCAGTTACTTGTAGGCGCTATAGGGTTACTTGTTGCACAAGCAAAAACAATCAGACAATGTAGTGTTATACAGCCTTTATAGGATACAGCTTCGAATGAGTCTTGGATCACTAAAATCCATTAACGCAATCTAGACGATTTACAGCGAGACGAAAACAGGTGCAAAAAATTTATACTGTACAAGCACAGAAAATATTAAAGCGATTCACCACGAAGAAATGCTTACAAACGTTTGAATCATGGAGAAAGTCTGTGAATAAAAAGGAACTGTTGAACAATCACCCCAGGATAATTCACGAATCTCCTACACACCGAGTACCTCAACAAGCATCTTGTAGAGTAACTAATTACTTGTTAACACCAGAAAAGAAGCCATTACTCCGTACGTCCCGACAATTTCCATTTACTGAACTTTCTCTTCATTTTTTGGAAAGCACCATCCTTTTTCTGTCTGAAATATTGTGAGCTACTAGAAGAAAGACTCGAGCATTGGTTTAAAAATTCCTGACTTTTCCGCCGATCCTGTAATCTGATCACGCCATTGGTCCGGTCCAAGGCTAATGCTCCTTCTTCGGTCCTCGGAGTGGTGTAAATGTTCATCGTATCCATGTTCAAGATTGTATTTCTGCAACAGGTCTTCATTCACTTCGTGCTTCCTCGATGAGGAGATGTGCTATTCAATCAATTCACATTGAATGCACTGAGTATGGTCAGGTGTGACCATGAAAGTAGTATATGAATCAGTGGGCGCTAACTAGGCGCTGAGGAAGGAGGGGGGTGTGCCCTTCCCCGCAGAAGGTTTCTTGGTAGCAACACAGTTAGGCCTCAGGCCTGAAAATTGCCCCCTCCAAAATCCCGCCTACAAAATCACCGCGTCTCCAAACGCAGATATTGACCATTGCGATATCGTCATCAATACTGCTCCATTTTCATCGCAGAAATGCATTCTTATCGAGTGGCATGGTTTGCTTTCTTGCCTGTGATCAAATACAAATATGGTGCAAAATTGTCTACAAGCAAGGCGCTAACTATGACTCGGTAAGTGGAATTAAATTCCAATTCATTGATAAATGCAACATTTCGCCTATGAATCAGCAGCAAAAGCAGTTGGAAGCGTTTCACGCCAAGTCACTTAACTTTAAATTTCTACTTTTTTGTCGGCGTCATTCGTGCGCTTCATGGGTGTAGTTAAAGGAGGATTCCACGATAAGGTCAAAGGTGGGTTGGTGTCAAAGATGGGTTCTTCGAGTGACCACCCATCATATTTCTCGGCGATGACTAGACAGGAGACAGTATAGTGTGCTAACAAATAAACAATAGGCGATAGTCCAGCTCAAACGCTTCGGGAGTTCTTACTGCTTAAGTTCAACCTCGTCCAAGTAGGCCTTCTCGGATTTTTGGTGGAACACGAGAGGAGTTGAGCTCTGGAAACCCCTCGTGTAGATGTCGCAGTCAACGCGAAAGTCAACCGTCCACAGCTCGAATGCAACGCTTTTAATACGAAAGAAAAACAAGGCAAAGTTTGCTTTTGTATGACACCGTTGAACCACCTCTTGCTAAGAAAATTCAGGAAAATTTTGAGACTCTCGGACGGAGAGTTCTTCCGTATCCACCTTATAGCCCTGACCTCGTGCCAAAGGATGCCCACCTGCTCCCTCTCCAGACCACCTCCTAGAGAAGAAATCTCATCCTAACCATCATGATGTCAAAATCGACATCTGATCTTTCTTCGATCAGAATTCAGTAGAGTTCTACAAGAGAGGCATCGAACAGCTTCTAGTGCGTTGGCAATAGGTTGTAGATATTGATGGTGTGTATCATGCTGGATGAATGGAACAAAAAGATAATAAATATTTAAATCAAAATTCAGCCAGTTTGTTGCAAGACTTATGGACCAACCTAATATTATCTTATCCTTAGTGTTAGATAGCCTGAAGGGATGCACTCTAGCGCTACCAATAACGCGATATTGAGTGATCCCTGCTAACTCCACACCACTCTCACGGCGCAAAACTGCAAGTTAGGCAAGAGTGCGTTCCAGTCCATTTTTTGCTTCTTATATTTCAATTAAAGGAATCTTCCACGGACCATGGACCAGTGGGCGGGACCGGAAGTGGTTTTGCGACGAAATGCATGGTAGGTACGGATCCACGTTCATGGGAAGGTTTGAAGTGAATCCTGTTCACGTTCGTGCGTTCGACACGTGGATCCGTACCTACCATGCATTTCGTCACAAAAACTTCCGGTCCCGCCCACTGGTCCATGGTCCGTGGAAGATTCCTTTAGGTTTTTAACTACGACACCTGTATGAGACTCTTCTTTGCTTGAGCTCTTTTCTCAGCAGTCGGTCTTCTGTTGAGAGCTTGGCTTGCAGACTGGCAGATGGCCGGATGCGACGTTTTTCGAGGTACATCCTCATCACCGTCCCTATTCGACAGCTCACCACAACTGCAAAGGGCGCCATTGCAATTAGACGTGTTTACATTTTACAAAAGCATACCAGATAATATTATTATCGAATCCGCACCTCTTGCCTAGCGGGAAGTGCGCTACAAGTTACGCTACCGGGGCACCATTTCATCACAACTCAAGAGGTAGCGTAACTGGTAGCGCACTTGCCCGGAAGCGAGAGGTGCGGGTTCTAGTCCCGTCCTGGGGCGAAAGTTTTGTTCACAACCCAGCATTCTTGTGAAACATTCGCAAGGCGAACTGCGGCCAAAAACAGCAGTTAACAAAAAATAAGTCAAATATTACTATTAATTTAATTCAATATACAATATTATGGAGCTATCCCTGAGCCTCATAAATTGTATATCTTCGTTTTTGAAATCTCTTGAGGACTCTTGATGTAAGATTTATTGGTTAGCTTTCGCTGTGATAACAGCTTCTTCAGACCTACAAGAACATCAAGCATATTACAATACTTCAAACCTAGGAGACATCAACATAATAAACATTAACTGACCAGGCCGCTAATGGGATACTCTGCAAAGCACAATTCAAGACCTATCAGACTATTGTACAAACCAGGACAACAACGAACGATGATCACCTCACTCTAGTGCAGTTGCTAATAAAATAAAAATCACTGGGAATGAGCAGTACGTGACTATTTCACAGTACTGGCTTTTATCCACCGTTAACTCAGAAGTCTCATAGCCTCCATGGCCTCCTCTCTGATGTTTATTATGTTGATGTCTCCTAGGTTTGAAGTATTGTAATATGCTTGATGTCTTGTAGGTCTGAAGAAGCTGTTATCACAGCGAAAGCTAACCAATAAATCTTACATCAAGAGTCCTCAAGAGATTTCAAAAACGAAGATACTCAATATACAATATTAGCACAATAGGCCTGACCACAGAGATCGTTTGAAAAGTGGACCATTCTCTCGAAGTTTTGTGGCATATTATAAAGGGCACATGAAATGGGGTTCATTCACTTGAGAAGTCTCACGGTTAGCAAAAGAGATGAAAGGGTAGGCGCTCATGTTGTAAGGGAAGGGGTTGTGCTAATGCGGTATTCCCAATTGTTGAAGGGCCGTGCTGGGTGAAGAGATCCTATGTACGAAAAGCGCAAAAGGTGAGCACTTCAGGTTCTTCTCAACCTTTATAATGAAAGTTTAAATTTGTTGTGGTTTCAAATGCCTTTGAATCTCTGCAGTGCAATGCCCCTCCTTACTATAATACATGAGCGCCTAATGTTGCTTGATGAAAGCAGTAATTTCATGATTATCGTTTTTTGAACAATTTGAATTTTGAGTTCCCATCTTGGGAAAAGTTTTCATTCAAAAATCCCCAGGTTTGTATAAACAAGGGTTTCAAGAAACGCAAAAGTTTCTTATCATTGAGAGTCGAACCATTTACAATTCCCACTCATTTTTCAACATTTCGATAGTCATTCGGGAAAATATGAAGCTCATATTGGTACAGACAAAATAATATGATGTGCAAAAGATAGCTAGCTACCGAAGTTTCTTCGCTTCTTGAGCGAAAGTTCTGCCAATATTGAGAAGTATTATAAAATTATAAGTGACGCATGCATCTCAAAAAAAAGTACCTCGTTTTACTCCGACATACTGAACGGTGACGAGATTGTGCTGACGTCTGTGATTCTGAAGCGACGTCAGAAGATTTTGTTTGAATATTTGGCGACACGCTACACGATCTGAAAGCATACCACATCGATTGTTTTGGAACATTAACAAATACATTTCTTAAAAAGGAGGTACCCTGGTCCTGCGTCGCTATTTTAACCTTTTCGTCCCCTTAGGGTATGCTAACATCGGAGATTCTTCAATAGAAGAGGTCGTATCCGGCTCACTGGGCGTCATTTCTGATAACACTTGCGGTGCTTTTCCAAATGGGGTAATAAAAATAGGCTTCATGTTGAAGCATCTTAGGTAAAAGGTACACTGCGACGCATAATCTTAGTTCCACCTACAAATTTCCCAAAAACTTGAATCTGGGGATGTTTTTGAAAAAGGCCCTATGGACAAATTGTGACACATATAAACGCGAATCTGTATATCAACACGGAAACCCGGCACTATTTACCCTTTACTGCCCCACTCCCCGAGAACTGAGCCGGGTTTTTATCGAAATTGGTCAATGACTGTGGATTTGGCTAGAAACTTGCCTTAAGGGGTAATTTGACCCGTAGAACACGAATATCATACCGGTTTAGCGCGAAAACGCTTGGCGCCCGCCATCACAACCGATGTGCGCGGGTGCTCGTAGCACAAGCTACAGACTCACTCGTAACGAACCGATATGATATTCATGTTCTACGGGTCAAAATACCTCTGAGGACAACTTTCCAGCGAGTTTGGGGGTCCGAGATGTTCTGGCGCTTTTTGGCGCCGGCCCTTCTGGCGCGGGCGCCAAGCGTTTTCGCGCTAAACCGATATGATATTCGTGTTCTACGGGTCAAATTACCCCTTAAGGCAAGTTTCTAGCCAAATCCACAGTCATGACCAATTTCGATAAAAACCCGGCTCAGTTCTCGGGGAGTGGGGCAGTAAAGGGTAAATAGTGCCGGGTTTCCGTGTTGATATACAGATTCGCGTTTATATGTGTCACAATTTGTCCATAGGGCCTTTTTCAAAAACATCCCCAGATTCAAGTTTTGGGAAATTTGTAGGTGGAACTAAGATTATGCGTCGCAGTGTATGTAACAGCGTCAGTATAAACGTGAAGGTGCAGAGTGGACTGAAAGCAGAAGCAAAAAAATTGCTGAATATTTATAACACAAAGAAACACGGAATTTTATTTCAAAAAAATCCCAAAATTTCGCAAAAATCTCAGTATTCGCTTTTTTTTGAAATTTTGTGATTTTTTTGGAATGAAGTTTTGGTGCCTCTCTGTGTTAAACAACATTTAGGTCCTGATGAGGCTCAGGGCAGCACAATACTAACAAAAAACCCATTAAAAAAACTGAAATTACAATTAAAACCTTCGGTAAGGTCGGCCATGGCCCGACTTTGGAACCATACGCGGCGGATCGGTACTTTTATAGCCACTGTCCTACGCACTGAAAGTATTACCCCATTTACCTACCCCTGAACTACGTAGCCTTTAAGGGACAAGGATTTTCCGGAAAGATTCACACGAGAAGTTGAATTCTGTAAGAAAATTTGCGGAGGTGTTAGGACTTACAATGTTTTGATTGCTCCCCCTTCCCCTACTCCCGCTAGTAATGCTCTATGGGTAATGTCAGGTATACTTCCAAATCGGTTGCAATAAAGATAGGACCAAGTACTGGAAAAGTCGTGTAGGTTACACCCACAGCTTGCATTACTTAATTAATTTCGCTCGACTTCCTTGACGTGACTCACCCTCACTACGAGCGACAAACGAAAACGCAATTCTCGGTTCTGTACTAATTAGCCAGAAATAATGCAGTGACACTCTGCAACCCGTCTCGAGTCGTCCATTCGTCTTAATTACAACTACTATTCGGCTCGGGAAACCAACATGATTATTTGAAGGACCAAAATAAGTAGTACGCTGAGTTGTAGCCAAAATGGGTGTTTCGTGAATCTGGTCAAGGTGTACGTTCCTTGCAAGGTACTGAGCAAAATGAGTCCAGAACGGATAGATCATTTCCGATGACTTAGTGCATTCAAGGCTACCCTATACCAGGGAATAATACTGAGGGAATTAGATATGATTCTATTGAATTGCACCGGTGGACGCTGACGAATACGTCATCGAAGTTGCAGAGACTTTGATTTGGCTGGCGTCCAAATGAAAGCGCTCTAGTTAATTTGCCTTATTTTTGGTAGACGAAATTATTTTGGTGAAAATCCAGCTGAAGGGAAGGGGGGGGGGGGGAGCACGCCATTGTGTTCTCCAGTAGTTAAGATAAGAATGAAAACGCTTTTGACCTGTAATCGATCATATAAAGTGTACTTCTGATAAGTACCGGTGTAGTGTAGGAGTACTCCTGAGCTGCTTCCAAGATGGAGCATGAGGGCATAAGGTGTGGAGATTAGGACATCCACCTTACCTTAACAGAAGGGGGTTCGAATAAGTCGTTAACATATTAACCATATTCTTGGTTCTAAAGAGCCCAAAGGAGTGCTTTCTAGGACCAAAAATAAAATTCCGAAGAGTGGCCCCCACAAACATAAATTTCACCTTTATTTTATATGAATCAGTGTTCAGGACCAATAAGATCTTATCCTTAGCCAATAACGAGTCGAAAAATGTAGCCCCTGAACAATTCAGCATCCCTGCACTCCTTCTATAGGGTTATATGGAGTTATAAAGTCTGTACGGAATATTATGTGCGGATAAGTAGTCGCAGTCGCACAGCTCACACAAATTACAGTCCCTTCGCACGCGCCCCAACGAGACCGTGGCAATTTTGCGCGCCGCGCGCGGTGTGCGGCCGATTCGCCGGTATTTTATTGGATTGGCAAGCTTTTCTTCAACAGATACGCAACGTTTTGAGTGCTTATAGGTGAGTATCCTTACGTTTTTCGTGACGGCGTCACTTCACGGCTGGAACTTCTCTTTGCTCCTTCTCTTGCACTCTCTGTTTGGCAATCATCTAAATATGAACATGGGGGCGCCTGCTTCTTCTTCGACTTCAAACTAGGGTTATTCATGCGTTTATTGACCGCATTCGCATAGATTAACGCCATTCGAGACGAATGCTGAAACGATAGTTTGACACGACTGACAAGTCACTAGCTGAAATCAAATTGGTTTGCGGAGACAGTGCAAGTGTTCTTTGGCAAACGGACACAAACATGAATATGTTCTAATTGGAGAGACTGGAAGGACAACGATGCGGTACTGAAAGAAGGAATAGCAGATTTATCCCTCTAACACGTACACTTTTTGAATTGTCAGAAGTGAATGCTACGAAACATACACAACGAAATTATGAATTTTTTAAAACTGCCCTTGGATAGCGTAGCGTAAATGACCTCGTTTTTTATGTTTCATGCATGCGCCATTACAAAATGCAGAGAAAGGAGCTCTATGTCCTAATCACCCTTCCTCCCCTCCCAACCCAATCTGTGCTTGACTTCAGCGCCTGAAACCATTACATGAAAATCCTTTCTTCTTCCTGCTTCCTAGGCTTCAACGTAAGCTCACCGGATTAAAATAGCTTAGAAGAACTGCTTGCTAAGAATCGTGGCCTAAGAAATTGGTCACGTTAACGATAAGATAGGTACAGTGGCTGAAGTTATGTAAATTTTGAAGAGGCTATACAGCAGTTTGGAAGCCGAATGCTATCCTCAATCTAGAAAGAGGAGGGCGAAATCCCTTTGAATTTTCTTTGTTTCCCAACCAGAACCGGCCCAAGAGAACCCTTTCGTAGCATTTATGTATGTCTAAAATGAAAGGTGATGACTCGGAGAGAATTAATTAAAAAAACATTGAAATTCAAGGAATCTTCGTTCGCCTACCACAAGGGAAGGGTAGCCTACGGTCCTAGTAATAGAACACGTAAACGTAGCGGGGCATCTTACTAAATGCACTTAGATTCAATGGCTGGAAGTAGAGGTGTGAGAAGCATTCTCTAAGGGGCTGATGTTAAAGAAAAAAGGCAAACTTCAATTTAGACAAGTTTAATTTATGAAAGGTTTCATGGCCTTGGGGGGGGGAGGGAGGAGAGAACATTCAAGACATAGTCTTGAAAACCCTCGGTAGGTGACACTAGGACCAAGTCCAGCAGAAGTGAGAAACGCCATTGTGAACCAAAAACTGCTCAAATCTTCCCCTGGACCCCTTAACCTACCTGAGGCTCACAAGGAAGGTCTTTCAGGGTGTGCCAAGCTTTTTCAAAACGGTCTTTTGCATGATATAGGGGCACATGCGGGAACCACAGAACCATGGTTAATTTTTCCTGAACGGCCCTCTGAATACCAGAAAAGGGGGTCCCTAGTCACACCTTTTCACCAGTTTTTCAATCAAAGTCTATTTGTAAGGGTTACTGACGTTCCTAATCATGAATTTGGTACTAATTATTCATGCTAACTCCATTTTGCGCGAATTTTGAAACGTCAACTCGAAATTTGTCACCACGAGGAATCGAACTAGGGACCCCTTTTCTGGTATTCAGAGGGCCGTTCAGGAAAAATGAACCATGGTTCTGTGGTTCCCGCATGTGCCCCAATGTCATGCAAGAAACCATTTTGAAAAAGCTTGGCACACCCTGAACGACCTCCCTTGTTAGTCCACAACACTGTAAGTAGCTTATTCACTCAAATGTCCTTTAAATTACATGAGCGCCCTATGAAAATACATATAATATACGGGTAAAGAGTAAACAAAGCTCATTCATCGTTAATTATTGGCTGTACAAATCTCAATTGAGGGAGGCATGGTTAGAGTAAGAGAGAAGAAATTTTGGGAATGAGTGGTTCTAGTTGAACGAGTTTTTCAGAGTAAGCGATGAAGTGCTAAAGCAGTTGATTAAGTTTGCCACCTACAAAATCGATGAACGCTAATTAATGGTAGGGAGTTAATGAACTGACTTCCTCAATTCCTTGTCCTTTACGAAATGTAAAAAAGCATGCAAAACAACGGTAGAAATCAGAAAGCTCCAGAAACCGATAAAGCGAAAAGATGGAGAGAAAGTGCGATATCTGAAATTTTCCAACGTTTTTCATTGAATGCGCCTCGTTCCGTCTCATTCGGTCTTAACAAACAGGGGCATGTCTCTGGTGCTGGCCATTGCTCAGTGCGCATCACTCACTTGAAAAGAAGCTTAATTATAGAGTTCGATGCAAGTAACACCAGTAATGAGGTTCTGGAATGACGCTATCCCTTCCTTCAAGCAGCGCCCCAGCATTGGTTCGTAGAAAAATCAACGAATCTCGAAGCAACAGCTGAATTTCTTAATTCAATAACCAGGCGAATATACATTATTCATAAATGAACACGTATATGGGCTTTCGTTTTGTTGAACCTTTGCGAGAGTTTTTCAACGACTTTTGCAAATTTCGCCATCGTGCACCATTTCTCGTCCAAATTCTGCAACTCGCGAACCAGATTTCATTACTGTCTAAAAAGGGATCCCAGATAATCGACGAAATCGTGAGATTTTTGCCAATATCGCCAACAGATGTTGAGATAGGGGTCGGGTGAATAAACCTATCGATAGTTGATTAGATACCCTCGCCTTCAAATGACCAGAAATTGTGCAATTGCAGAAATTGACGTGGCATTAACGTGGCATCGATTCAAGAACATCTTTGAGCACACGTGATGTCACCTTTTCATCGAAAGATGTTCTTGAATCGATGCCACGTTAATGCCACGTCAATTTCTGCAATTGCACAATTTCTGGTCATTTGAAGGCGAGGGTATGAAATGCAGCACAATCACGTATGACCACATTCTTTGTATAGTGCTGGCGGAATTGATGTAAAGGTTGATAAATGATGTTGGTAAAGTGATGAGTGGTGTTACCTGAAGGCGATTTCCGCAATTGAGTGGGTTTACCGCACCACGTCTGAAGATGAAAGAAGTTGTGATGACTGGTCAACCAGCGGTTGTAAAAACCTTAAAAATTACTGAAAAAACCGTAGAATCGAATGAGCCCCGTTGGTACGGGCGGGGTTTGAGTTTTGCTCCTATGGGTCTCTCATTGCTTAACTTCATAATAATAGCGTACCCTACTTTACGAGAGAAACGAGTGGTCACTGAGACTCCAGTAGGAGCAGAGCGCAAACCCCACCCATTCGATCGGCCCGCTATGAAATTTCAACAACTCTCAGCAGATTTTTTGTTTTGTTTTATTACTTGTGAGCCAAACAGCGCAGATACTTTCATTTACTTGAGCAAAAACCACTGCCCCTTCAATCGCCTTCAGCGCCGGCATGGTTCAGAGGAAATGCTGAATCGAATACCGTTAAGGTTCCACAAGCCTACAATACCCTCAGGACTAGGCAAGCAGTGAAAGACCCGTGTTGGGAGATAAATACTATCACATAGCCTTACCAGGAAGGTCTTTCAGGGCGTGACAAGCTTTTTGAAAACGGTCTTTTGCATGATATAGGGGCAGAA